CTTTAGGTTTCTCTTCTTCTTTTGGTTCTTCTTCTTCTTCTTCTCCTTCTTTTTCTTTCGCCTCTTCGTTCTGTGTTCCCTCTTGCTCATCCACTTCGTTTTTGATTTCTTCCTGGACGCGAAGCTCGCGAGGCTGCGGCGAGGCGACTTCTTCAGTTTCTGTTTCCTTCACGACGATTTCAGTCATATATAATATGAAACATTTTAATTTGTGTTTATAATGAAGGTATGGGGCGTGTTTGTCAATTTAATTTTGATTGACGACGATTTGTTTGTTTGAGTCTATGTAAAACATTGTTGTTTTAGCGGCCTGCATCAAATCAACATATAGGAAGCTGTGTCGGTCATCCGTCGCAATCCTATATATCTTGTCTAAAGTCTTCTTGTCATACAGACCACTCAACTCCTCCAACATCGCTTCCAAGTCTTTTTGATTGCGACGTCTGAAAATGAATAATTGTGTAGCATTCTTTCTTACCACTGGTGATATTTGTGTGTAGGATTGAGAAGTGATGAAGGTAGAGATATACCAATGCCTCCCTTTCGTGAAGAGTTTTATTAACTCCTTGTTCTTTCTAAGCACCCGTTCGTTGTCCGCTCAGTCGTCTATGATGATGCAGATGTTGTATAGGTGCTTGTATTCCTTCTCCTTCATAGACTTGATTATTCCCTCCTGCGTGTCTATGATGTTCTTTAAGTCCTTCTCCTCAAAGTTGTCAAAGTAGATGGGGTCTTCATCAGAGTGTTTTATGTCCATCTCGTTTTCAATGTATTTCTTTACAACCGTCCAAGTGTCATCTATAAAGACGGTGGGCGAAAATATGTATATCTTTTCAAAACAGTCTTTGTAGATGTCCATTATCAGATTTGTCAGTGCTACTGTCTTACCCGTTCCTGATGGAGCGTTCAACAGAATTCTTGCTGGAAGCGGTGCCATATAACCATAGCATACTTTGATTGCTTACTGCTGTATTCCTTGTGCTTATAGGGTTTAATATTAATCATTGAACGATATAAAAAATATTTTACAAAATCGAATGTTTATATTCTTATTGAAGGAAACCATTTAGGGACAGTTCGCTTCAATCCGCATAAGTCGCTAATTTGTTTGTTTTTGCGATGGACTTGCCCCACCCCAGTGTTTGACAATTGCCCCAAGCATCTCTTTTAGTGTTTCCCCAGCACTAATCAGACAATATGTACATCAATCATATTGTCTAATTATGTCTACAGTGAAATATATAGATGCCTTGTCGAAAAACAAATATGAAGAAAGCACCCATACCTGAAGATTTTGAACTGTCCGATGAAGAATTTGGTTGTTAGGTTCTGTTCTTCATTCAGTTTGATTATAAAACTGAATGAAGAACAGAAACTAACAAGCAAATTCGTCACCTTTGACTGTCCTGTATGCCACGGAAAACTACAATTGAGAAACGAAATAGAAATCAACCCTAAAGGGATAAAGTGTAGTTGTAATCCGTGTAGTTTCAAAATCAGCAAGAGTGATAAGACTATGATCGTCAGTAGGGATGACAACGGAGACATCAAACTGGATAGTGAAGCACACAGCATCTCGTTCAGTTGAAACAGACAAATCACACCAGAAGACAAAGACAAGGAAAGCACCAACCGTATGATTGCTGATGTAATGAATTCAACACCAAGAAGTGAGAAAAACAATCATCTATACAAGATATGGATTAAATAGAAGATTTGAAGGGTAGATTTTGATGTGAAAGATTTGATAAATTAATTATCTAAATACATATGTATATATATATATATTTATTTGAGCAAACAATTATATAAATGGGTCACGTACCGGATTTACAAACGAAACGGATCCAAACTCCCTTTCACACGCAGTGTGTTGGCTTCAGCTGTATGACTGCCCCTGGCCATACGGGGGCAGTAATGACTGGAGCCGTGTGTGGCTGCCTACCACCCGATGAGAGGAAAGGCGTAAAGGACTTTGAGAGATTGAGGAAGGACTGCACGAGATAGATAGAGTGATAAAGGAACTGGAAGAGGAGGAAAGACAAAAGGAAAGCCAACCAGAACCCGAAATCTAAACAAGACAGCAAAATTACTTCAAGAAAAATACCTATATATAGTAAGAGAAAATGAGTAGCGTAAAAATTGCGGATTTGAGTTCAGTTTCTGAAAATTTAGGGTTATATGCTGACTTTGGAAGTGATAGTGAGGATGAAGAGTGGGAAAGAAAACAAATAGAAAAAAAATATCAAGAGATAAGAGAATTCGTTAGATGTCATCCTATGTCTTTACCTGATGATGAGGACGGCGATGCCTTCTGGCACAAAGTGATTGATAGGATGAAAGAAAAGGAAGGAGTAAATGGTATGTTAATCTTTTCGTTCGTGAGGTTTGACATTATGAAAAAATGTATGAAATCCTCACGGACAAAAAAGTCATCATTGATTGCGGTAAGGAACTCAACCGTGATGGAGAATTCAATGCTATGATTATAAACCTAACTCTTCTGTCAATAGCGATGGATGAACTAAACGATGCAAACAAACCGTGCCTAACACAAATGAGGGTCATTGAACACTGGTGGGATGGAATAGGAAAATGGAAAGCATAAGCACGCCTAATTCATAAAGTTTTAGTTGAACATATTATGAACTAGTCCTTTAAGCCCAAACCCCCACAACAAGAGAAACCCCTAAAACACATTTAAAGACATAACCCCTTAAACTTTTAGAGATACGATGACTGACAAAAAGCAATGTTCCAAGTGTAAGGTCTTTGAACCACTCAACTATTCCAAAAATGAATGTGAGCAATGTAAAATATGTCTGGAAGCAAAGCAACGATACAGGGAGAAAAACCAAGATTAATTAAGAGAGTATGCCAGACAATACTACTATGGCAAAAATGAACAAACATGAATATGTCCAGTGTGCGAAAGCATCATAAACAAATATCAAGTCAAACGACACGAGGAACGCATCAATCATCAAAGCAAAGTAAAAGGAAAAGAACAGCCAAAAGTTATAAGAAATGGAGACGATGATGAAACTGGCATTATGGGAGTATAACACAAAACCCCAAAAAGCAAAACAATCATCCACCTCGTTGAATTATGGCAATGATAGTGAAAGTTATGACCCTAAAACACGCATAACAAGACCCCAGAAAAACGACAAAGGCTCAACGCAAATTTTCAAGAGCCAAGAAAAATCAACAAGGTGGTTGATGAACAAGGACTCCCCAGAACCCCCATTTTACATTTTTTTGGGGGGGGTGGTCGTTGGGAGGGACCTTTTGGGAGGGTGAACCCAGAGCTTGGTGGGGGAGAGCGCTCCAAAGCAAGGGTCAGAAAATCAGTGAACGTGGGGTCTGGTGATGCGAGTGATGCAATGGACGCCGAGTAGTGCATCATCAGCATCATGAAGGGCTTTGGAGGCTATTTGGACAATGGGCATTGAGCAATCGAGTGGAGACAGGGACCCACGCACAGAGCAGACCGCAGCCGCATGTAGGATACGAGTTCCCAGGACAACCCGTAACTTGCGAAATCCATAGGGAGCCGAAAGGGACATGAGTTCAAGTCCATGAATTTGGATTGAGTTTCGGTGGGGATGCCTGCGGGTTCCTGCCCCCTAGCAAAAGCTATAGTTGCACCATGTCCTCAGTCGAGTGGATGCTTCTCGCGGCGTCCACACGCACCGAACGTTTTTCCGGCTTGCCGGCGCAGATAGACAGATGGATAGAGATAGAGATAGAGATAGAGATAGAGATAGAGATAGATAGATAGATAGATAGATACATAAATTCTATATACTACTGACTCATGACGTCGCCTTTTTGCTAGCAACCCTGGCCGAATCCAGTCGGCCTGGGTCCACGGCCCAAAGATCTACACACGCAGGTGCCAAAGTCAAGGCCTGTGAGTGAGAAAGGCGCAGAGTTGATAAGAAAGAGAAGAAAATATAAGGTGTTTGGATCGCTTAATAAAGGACCCTTTAAAGGAAAAGGCTGTGTTTTGGATCGAGCAGAACATGATTCACTCAAGTCCAGGTATGTGCATCGATAGGCGCACAAATCCTCACCCCTTTGCTAGCCCAAGCTACTTTCGCTGGACCTGCCCTTCTGCGCCGCGGGATCAAACGTCCGTGTCCCGCCTGAGACGTGCCCGTTCACTCTTCCAAATCAACGAACGCCGCTTTTTGGTGCGCCGTAGTATGTGTTGCAAACTTCAAACACTCCAAATGTAACAAACACATAGTTGCTTCTAAACGCACGCCCGCGAGCGGCTCACTATGGAGAAGGTCTTCCTGCGCGCGCGCGGCGTGCACGCGCGTGCGCACGTGGTATCCCACCACTCGAACTCAGACGGTATTTCCCCTTCGCTAACGCTGATGTCGCCTTCCAACTTCCATAAGATGCATACCTTCCTGCGTGTGACAAACGCATGCCATTGCATTGTGATGATGGCCTACACCAACATACAAGGTATCGCACTTCTCTTTCACTACTTCTTTCATACAAAACTTATCGCAAAGCCACCCGGCTTGCTTCTGCTCCCTCCATCACCAGTACATACGCCCCCCCGCACCCGCGGCACCGCTGACTCGCAAGCTGCCGAGCATGTGTCTTGTGTAGCGGCGCCCGCCCGAAAAAGAGACACTCGTCTGGCGGCGGCTGGCTTTGGTCCCCCCTTCTCAGGCATCCAAAATAATGCATATATATATATAGGGACAATGGGGACGTTTGAAGCTAGGGAGGGGGTTTATGATTCTATGGAAGATGAATGTTGATGTTGCTGAACAGTTGTTTTTTGAGTTGAAATGTTTGGTGAGGTGTGGGGTGTATTAGTTGTGAGTTGATGGACTGGGGCAAGGCCTTCTCTTGTTGTTCTTTTTTTACAACTATTTGAGTGCTTGAAGGGGATTTATGATATTTGGAATTTTGTTATTGAGAAAGAGGCTTCTGATGTGACGGAACATGTCTGAGCTCCTGTCTATGCGCAGGAGTTGGTAGTCTTTCCTTATACAGAGCTCAGCAGTGATATCTTCCACCGTCACAGGACCGAACAATCTGACAAGTGGCAAATCCAAATGCACAGCGCTGGCGGCACTGTTTTGTTGACGATACCGTTCTATGTGAGGAGCTCGGCCTCGTCAATGGCTGCTATAATCTCAGTTCACGAGGGGCAGTTCCAAAATGCTTCAATGGGCATGATCTTGTCAGTCTATATAATCATTTCATCCAGTTGTTGTGAACAGATAAGTATAAGCCTCCGTCATTCGGATGATCAAATCTTGCACAATGATACACCAAACTACAGTTTGTCACCTTGAGTTTACCTTCAATTGAGGTCCTATGCGAGGGTTTGAGATACAGGAATTATTGGGCCGCCCGATTAACAGTTTCCATTTTGCCTGCTTCAAACATCACCATTCTTCCATATATGCGCCCTGAGTCTTGAGCAAGACCAAACAAGTAGCAAAAACACAGGTGGATATTTTCCCTGAAGAACAATCCATCGCATGATCCAAGGTGCCCCTCCTGGCATTGTTGGCCCTTTGGGCCATGTAAGTGGTTTGGCGCCGCGAAAAGATCACTGCGCGCGCAATGAGGGTTTAGACCAGATGATCGACCGCACAGTCTTGGAAAGTGTGTGTCCAAGCATTAATTGGTACATACACAGATCTCTCTCTCTCTCTAATATGTATATATATATATACACATACAGTTTATTTTTGCTTTGTTATATGCTTAAAGCTGTCAAGTCGTACGTCCATCCAGGTTGTTTGTTCCTCAGCGTGCTTTGCCGGAAGGTTGAGTGCTCGGGGAACTGCTGGCTCAGTTTGTAGTGTAGTTTCTAGGCCGATGGAAACATCACGTTTCTGGGCGCACTCTTTATATACTGGTGACAAGCGCGCCAAAAACCTCGAAGACGAAGCTTCCTGTACCTCCCAGCTCCCAACTCCAAGTCCTTAAGGTTTTTGCTTCAGGAGTACAGCCCAAGTCCGCAAATAGGTCCAAGTGGGGCCCAACCCCAGTACTCGGGGTCAAATCCCACAGCCCACAGCCCACCGAGACAAGCCTTGCTTTTGTATCACACACCCCAAAAGACTTGGGGTCTCTGTGCGGATGCATGGACCGCGCCTCATGGAGGCGGAGATGTCAGGATTGATGTCGGAAAGCTTTGTCAGTTTTGATGCGATTCTTTCGCTTGGGAACCTTGCCTTTCTGGAGTGGGGAGGCATACATGCTGGCGCTTTTACTGGCACACGCCGCTGGCAAGTTGGCTGAATATGGTCGAGAGTTAACAGACTGGGCTAAAAGATAAGTTTCCTCAATATATAGCCGAAATCAAGTACGAGTCGAAATGCAAAGTTTTGTAGTTTGAAGCAAGGTACAGCTAGCCTTCCTGAGAGCTTCAGGGTGAATCTCTTTAGCTTTGCTCGACTTTTCTGGTCTCCTAGGTTTTGAGAACCTACGAGGGGAGCGACTGCTGCAGGACACCATGTCATAACGTTTGACGCATTTTCTGAAAATCCGTTGAATGGCGGACCTTGAACTTCAGCTGTTAAGGTGATATGGTCTTGCTGGTAGTTCCCTTTCGAGGTAATTTCATCGCATTTGATATGTCATGCCTGTTTAGAAGATGAATTAAGATCACATGAACAGTGCAGCACGTACGTACATATACAATATGACTTACCTTCTGAAATGCATCGCAACAAGAAAGTTATGCCTGGTTGACAGAAAACTTGACTTTCCACCTACACAGTTTGAGGGGATACCCTCAGAGTGTATTTGCTCCATTTGCAATATGTGGTACTTGTTTTGGGTCAAAATGAATCAGTGAGTGGTCATGGAATGTTTTGCTTGAACTTCGTCTTTTTATCAATTACACCAGCATAGACCCAGATAGCTAGGCAGAATCCCACGACCTTTTGACATGCGACTGGCTGGAACAAGAATGTACGCAGCCTGCGCAGCCAGCATACGGCGCCTCCACAGTGCGCACAGCCAGCTGACACCAGCGCCGGTGCGCTCTGCCAGCTGACAACACCGGCAGCGGCACCAGCGCCCGACCAGCGCCGCCGCCCGTCTTAATAAACGCGCGCTCAGCCAGCTCGCAGCACCAACACCCAGGACCACAACACCGACGCCCTTTCGAAAGCGCGGGCAGCCAGCTCATTTTTACTTGCAGTAAGAACCGGATAGCTATCCCTATTTGGGGAATAACAACGTATATATATGATCTTGCGCGTGTAAGATTATGCGCGCAAAAGTATGCGCGCAAGCAGAAAAGCCCGTAAGCGTCATTGGCCCAAGGCCAAGCAGTATCCAGCGCCACCATTGACTTTGTAGCATGCTTGAAGCAATGATCTGTAGAAGGACAAGGCCATATGATCTTGCACGTATAAGTTTATGCGCGCAAAAGTATGCGCGCAACCAGCAAAGCCCGTAGGCTTCACTCGCCCAAGGCCAAGCAGTATCCAGCACGACTATTGTGTGTGTATCATGCTGAAACATGCTGAAGCAATGGTCGCTTGAGAGCCTGACGTTGCGACGTGCAAAAGTATGCGCGCACAACAGTACGGCCCTAGCACCAGCACCAGCACCGGCACCCAGCACCAGCAACCTGTCTCGAAAGCGCGCGCGGGCAACTCATTGGTAATTGAAGTAAGAACCCCATAGCTTCGCTATCTGGGGAATTATTTGAAGTCAGAACCCCATAGCTTCGCTATCTGGGAAAAACAATAACCTGATAGCCTGATGGGCATGGAAGCCGATTGTACACTCACCAAATCCTGATACTGATGATCTTCTGCCACCCAGAATATTTCTTGAGTGTAGCTCATATGAAGCTGTCGAAGCATTTGGACACCCGGGCTGGAACCACTGTGCCCCTTCAGTCCACATTCCCAAGCTTTTCTCACTCTTGCGCCACGTTGTTGTTGTGGTTGTTGTTGTTGTTGTTGTGGTTGTGGTTGTGGTTGTGGTTGTTGTTGTTGTTGTTGTTGTTGTTGTTGTTTTTTCTGTTTGTTTGTTCTGTTTGTTTGTTTGTTTGTTTGTTTGTGCCCGCATCGGACTCAAGCACTTGCCAGGAAACCAATGACACCGCGTCGGTGCAAGGTCCTCAGCTTCGCGTAAGGGCATCCTTAGTGCAGTAGGGCGCGCAGGGTGAGCACAGTGCTCTCTCCATTTCTCTCCTTTTGCCAACCGACAAGAAAGGATGCTTTTCTTGCTTTTGATTCTGACACCAAGAACATGTATTGCTGCATGCAGCATGCATCACTTTCTTCGCTCCAGGTGTGTCGCAGACATTCAAACTGGGCTGGGTCCATTTCATCGGAGTGCCAAAACTAATAGCTCTTCATACATGGGTGTAGCCAGCAACTGAGGGGAACACAAACTTCGGTGCCTCTCCCATTCACTGTTCTGGGCGTTGGAGTTTGGGTTGTCGTCGAGCACGAGCTTGGTTCGAGGACCTTGGAGCCAGTCTGCGCTCCGAAGCCAGCTGTGTTCTTTGTGGATCAGAAGCATGGCAAATGGAGTGTTGATGGTAGAGCGAAGGTACTTTGGAGACGGGACATGCAAGGAGTATTGGATTAATTGTTGGAAATGAGTCTATGAGTCTATAGCACACAAATATGACCAGATCCTTCGCAGTTTTGGAGTTCAATGAATGTTCATGGGAGTGAAAACTGAATGGCTTTCGAGGGAGCCAACCCCATGCCCACCAATACTGCGGCAGTGTTGCACAAATCTACACTTGGTGAGTTTGCTGAATGACTCATGTCGCAATGCAGCTTCAAGACTTCCCAAGCAAGACATTGTATACCGCAGCAGCAACATGTAAGGTCATCCGGACGCGCGAACAGGTTTTGCCACCCAAACGCCTTCTAAGGAAGCCGATGTGCCAGCCCTGTGCCCGTATCACCATTGATGATCTAGAGAAAAGGTACGGCTGGCAAGTTGACCGTCGATGGGTGTAGCGCTTTGAAAGGGAGCAGCAGCTTTCAGCCTGAATTTGCTGAGTCTCCGTAGCGCTTCGCTTTTCTTGGCATGACAGGTGCATGTTCAACACTTCCCAATGTGATATGGTGGGCCCGGGCGAGAGCTGCGTCATCGATTGCGCAGCACCCTATGTGCGAGTGGGTCCCACCACCATGGGACAATGCCCCGGAGGCAACAGCATCAAGTGCTTTGGAGCACAAAAGTGGTTCGACAGGTCCTTTACACTGTGGTTGTAGAGAAAGCGTTCTTTTTCGATGAGTGGGTGGTCATTTTGAACACTAAAGGCCCAGAACCGAAACCTAAAGAAAGGGAAGGGCTCTGAGGGGCAGAACTTTGGACGGTTCGCAAGTGAGCGCGGGGAAGGAAAGCATTCTTTTGTCATCGAAAGGCCAGGTATGCAAATCGAAGAAAGAAGCTTAAAGAACAACTCACCATGACCAGGGATGAGGTTGGAATTGTCGTGCCGAACGCTTGACGCAAGTGGAATTGTCGTGCGGAACGCTCAAAGTTTGTTTATTTTTTTTTTTCTCTCTCTCTCTCTATCTATATAACAGTATATACATATATATATATAATACATATATATATATATACACTTTTTTCCTTAGATTTCAGAGTCTTGGAGAGAGGATACTTTTGTGCTTTGTCTTTATTGATACGCGACAAGTTGTTACTCTCTCTCTCTCTCTCCTGGATGGAGAGAGCCTAACAACTAAGGGACCGACTGCTTTTGTGGCGGGAGCCCAATTGCACTTGCCCAGAGCCAGATGCTCAACAGGGCTACGTCAAGGACTAGTGACTAAATGGAATATTTTCAACTTAAACAACACCACGCTTGACTAGATGCGGGCGACTTTCAAGTGCAAATCTTGTGAACACATGGCTTTCATGGATCTCACACAGGCTGCTTGTAGTGTATCGTGTTCTGCAAGACTCTTGAATCTGTTGAAAGGACAGCAACGGTGAGTGGCGCTGTGCCCAAGGGTTTGCTGGAATGCCCAGGGTGGTCTGCCAAGCATTGCCAGGACGGAACGTTGCTTCTACTCAGGGATGTTAAGGAGTCAAGGAAGAAACATTGACACGACGGCGAAGAGAGGTAAAGATCTGTTTCTCAATCTGTATATTAATGCAGATACATATATATATATATATATCTATACTTACACCACTAGGACAAATGCTTTTCTTCTTGAAGGTTCCAAATTGAGAGCTCTTTCCCCGGCCCCTTAGAATCCTGGAACACACTTATGGCAACTCAAGCGGTCAAACTTTCTCCTTCCAAAGCTCTTTAATGTCATAAATTGAACAGCAGGTGATCATTGACCATCCCACACTGGCCACGCAAAATGGACTTAAAAATTCGACCGTGGATGATGAGAAGCTTCCTTCCTCCTGAAGTATACACACATAATGTCACATAACTATTTTTGTATATTTGTATGATGCGCCTCTTGTGTCATTTGATCAATTTGATCATGAAGAGGATCACGACTGCTGAGAGGTTGTTTGTTTAGACTCACTTCTGTTTTTCTTCGTCATTCTTCTTGGCAGCTAGCAGGCCAAACGGAAAGGAGGCTTTGTGGGCACCTTTGTGCAATCTGAATTTGGAAAACCCGAAATTGTCCCTCCTGTACTTCGTTCCACAACTTTGTCGCAAAACAGCGACTCCAAGAGAGGTGTTGTCCTCATCGTCATGTGTGCATGTGACACTGACAGTGTTCTCGTGCCTTTTTGCTTTGCCCTGTAGCAACCTCTCTTCCGACTGCCAACTAGGCATGTCTTTGGTCTGCCAACATTCCACCTCGGACCACAAAACATGTGAACACATCCCCTGACAACCTCACAGAAAGGTGCTTGAACATTTCATGTAGATGTTTGGAGTGACGCTCAGCTCATTTTTTGCAATTCATTCGGCCGAAAAGAAACAGGAGAATGTCGGATAAAGTGACAAAGTAACGTTCGCGACCATTATCTATATAGTGGACTGCTGGTTTGTGGCAAGCTTGCAAGGGCTTAACAATTACTTTTTGGGGCCTGCATCGCAGTTTCTGGGATAGTTGGAAATAATATAGCAACTATATATACACTCAGCTAAATTTGTGACTTTGCCAGATGTGGCCAGGCTGCGGTGGGGTTCTGTCCAACTGGGAGGGCTGTGACAAGCTAGTGCCTTGTGCCATGCCCTCTGTGGACAACTGCAGGCGAGGCCCAGCATAGTAAGGGCAAGGTCACATGCATTTGCGAGCTTGCATTGCTGATGACTAGGATTTGTCTCTCCTTAGGCAAATAGATGTGGGCACAACCATCCTAGCCCTGGTGAACGCCAAAACAGCTTCTGAATGGAATTTGAACCCACAACAGATCCGCAGCTCCTTCGCCAGATTCGATGTGTCTCGTTGCACGCAAGTGCCACCCGGGGGGTCCTGCGAGGCTGGGTCCGAGAACGCGCGACGAAATCCTGCTTCGTTGGAGCGTCTGAAATCACCACCATTGGAACCGCATTGGACATGGTTTAATGTTTTGGAAGCTACGAGGCGGAGGCCATCGCTATTTTAGGTTGGAGGTCATTACTACTAGTAACAAGAAGGTACTAGTAGCAAGGTGAACCAAATCCTGAGCCTCTAGTTAACCGCAGCTCTCCAGAAGCTCAAAGGCTAGAATTGGCTAGAACGCCGCCAGGTTGACAGATGTAGAATGTATCTTTGAAGGGCTTGCAGTGCCAAGGAGTGCGATACCGATACCGTAGGAGAAATTGGGAGTTCGTCATCTCGAAGGAACACCCCATCCTGATTCTGAGAGTGCTGTGGGGTTGACGAAATGTTCAGCGTTGACAAAATTTGATTCTTTACAAGAAAGAACTGATCGTGGTCCACTCTCATGCGTCAGATCCACTGCCAAGCGCCACTGACGGGGAACCACACAGTGGCAGTTTGCAAGGCACGCGGGCATTGGGTAGACAGCTTGTGGAAGTATGCTGTTTGGATTGCCACGATCGAACGATACTTGAAGATCCACCTCAAGATACGCGAAGAAGGTTTATCGCGGAGGCAAAGGCCAATGCATTTAGACAGTCTTGGCAAATTTAGGAACGTTGATACGGGAGGTATTGAACTTGCAACGGCACAAAGAGAGACGAATGCATTTGAGAGACCTCGGCACAACACCTGACCAGCCACGGGAACCTCGCACTGCAGGATCTCAACACCAATCCACTGCAGGAGCTCGACTATTTCCCGCTGACCTGTCTCTTGTTCTTTCTCAGACTCCCATGATGAACAGCCCGGCTGACGCAAAAAAGGGCTTCATGTCCAGTCCTTGTTCTCTACACTGTCTCTATAAATCGGAGAATGAGGACGTCCAGTCCGAAGGGGCACTGTGCGTTCAGTGTGTGCATTTCGAGTCAACGAAAATCTGCTCAGCCAAGGCTTGCTGGAGAGCTGCCCAGATCCTTCGCCTTGGCCGGCAGGCTACGTGGCCTCGTTGACGCACCCCACAAGAGATTGCCCTTTGCTCCGTTCGTAGCGTCCGATCGCTCCTAGTAGTAAGGCCAGGAGCCCCGTTCGTAGCGTCCTTGCTCCTAGTAGCGATGCCCTTTGCTCCTAGTAGCGTTCATGTTTGTTTCCTTTGCATTTGCAGATTGTCTTCCGCAGATGGAACATGGCATACATATTCCTCTCAGTCTGGCCATTCGAGGTTACAACAAGACTCCTGAAGGGAAGTGGGTCTGCGCAAACGGCTACAATGGCACTGCGCGGAATCGATGTGAGTTAGGGGATGCTCGTCGTTTCTCAGCAGTGTGTGTGTGTGTGTCGATGTTGGCACCTTTCTTCAAGTCGTACACTTTTTTCGCCCAGTTGGTGGATAGTGAATACGACACTTTGCCCTCTTGAGCTTTAGCAGTCTCAGGATACCTGGACTGCTGACTGCTCTGCAGCTGCAGTGACCTGGCACTCAATGAGTCTCTCACAGAAAAGTGGCCTATGCATCTTCCTGAACACTATGTGCAAATCTGTTTACTTCATCCCTGACACGTTACCATCCATGAGGCGCTGGCTGGCTGCAGAGAGGTCGTGCCCTGTTTGGCGCCGAGCTTGACCGGCTTGGACCGCTGTACCTACGAAGCTTGTCTGAAGTCAATGTGGGGCCACAAAATGCTTTTGAGATGTGCCATGACGGATGCTATCTGCATGTAACTAGAGGACTGAGAGACTTGTGAGGCTTGGGTGAGATGGGGGGGGCTGCTCCTTTTGTAGCCAGATGCCATCAATGCATGTTTGGTAAGTTTGGTGTGTTTGTGTCTCGTCGTGAGGATGTCTCGGCGTGCACATCCGTGGCGCCTGGAGACTTTTGTGAGGTTCACTGTCGAAGCCCCTTCGCGGGGTCGAAAACAGAGGCGGACTGTCGTGTGCGACGTCGACGTCGGAGTGACTGTCATGTGCCACAAAGTTGACTGTCATGTCAGGGCGTCATGCCTCTCCTATTTTGGCACCTCCAGAACAGATTTTCTTTTTCTGCAATTCAAGCAAGCACAGTGACATAGTGATAGATACATTAGACCATCGTTCTGAGCACGCTTGTGCATGAGGCCTATTGCCCTCATGGCAACACTGATCCTGCTGGCTTGGTCTGGACCCGTCCACCCTGTGGATTAGATTCTTGTGATGAGCCTGGCACTGTGCCAGCCGGCTACAGACGCTGCTTGGTGGCAGCAATGCTGGTTTTATATAATTTATATAACTTCGAATCACGAGTACATCTCAGACATTCAAGACATGCAGCTGAAGATTCATCGAGTCCTCGATTGTTCACCTTAGCTTTCTCTCCTTTCCACATTACTTGCAAGTGTCGACCGAGGGCAGGGCACTGCTGGCTGGGAATGTGCTCAGAGCTACACAGGCTTTGCAGAAAAGGCCCGACTTCGCACTTCCACTCCGATCAAGTGACATAGATTTGGCATGAACTGGTGAGTTGTTTTGGGCGCATTTCGTGAAATCTTACAGATACATTCAGGGTCCCTGCACTTTACTAACTTTACTATATACTCAACTGGAATAATCTTGCTGCCCTTGATTTCCAATTCTTCGAGACTTCCATATTCACCCATGCAGGTTCAGGGCAAGTAAGATTCAATCAGTTTTCAACATCAACATAGGATGTTTCTTGCGACGTGTGTCTCGCAGACTTAGCTATTCCTGTGTCCTTTCACGGTGACCTTACCTGCGTTCCCATTTCCCGTTCTGCGCTCCTGATCCTCATGTGCTGTGCTCTACCAGCTCCGCTTCAGGTCTGCGAGACCACGGAGAGTTGTGAGATCCGTGCGGTGCTCCAAGGCTGCTTGCAGCTGGTTCCCTGCGAGGCGGAGCAATCGGACTGCCGTGCCTCGGTCGGCACTGCAAGTTTTTCCCCGACGTGTTTGTTTGTTTGGTAGATTTTGACGGCGAATAGTCGAGTCCAGATAGTAACTCACCTTTGCTGGTCTGGAAGCAAGGCTTTGACTTCATCGACTGCATCAGCGTTCAGCCGAATGCCCAGTGTCAGGTGAGGTGCAAGGCGCGGTAGCACCATTTTCTGGAAACCTGTCTTTTGAGAAAGCTTGCCCCGCCCATGGACTGCTTGGAGTTTTGGAGTGATTCTCGTGCACCAAAGCATACGGGCAACGGAACTTGTCTCACTGTTCAGGTTGCTATGTCCTGCAACCGCCATGTAAAGATTCGCCAGCCAGGCCCAAAATGGCTTTGCTGGCAGCGCAACAACAGCGACCTGTCTCCAAGGCAACACTGATGTGAATGGCCTGGTGCCTGGGCAGCAAACACGTTCGCTACCAGTGGAATTGCCCATTGAACTGAACGGAACTCTCACGCCTTTCAATAGCGATGGCCTCCAACCTAAGAGCGATGGCCTCCAACCTAAGAGCGATGGCCTCCCCTAAAGGGAACAACAAGCCAATAGAGGTGTGACGATTTGTATGCCCCTTGACTTCCACACTCTATGCATGCAGCCGATCACCACAAGAGCTAATGCTGTATCCTCCACTACTTGTTTCAAAGAAGTAGGACCCTTCAATCCTTTTACATTTTTTGATTCCACCAGAAGTCCAAATTCCAGCAGCCCAAGAAATGCAGCGAAGGAAGCTGCCAAACAGTTCAGCTCTGATCAATGTGAGTTTTCGGCCCCCGCTTCGAGGTTTGGACACCTCCGGTGTGCCAGATCAGCAGCTGTGACGATCCACCTGAAGGGAATGGCTATGTCAAGTCAGATTTTGGTTGGGAGTGACTGGGCGATCTTCGGTTGGGAAGGATTTCCAAGCCAATGGTTGCATGAGGGAAACAAATTAAACACACCACAAACAACGAATGGCTACACGGGCTACTTGTTGTCCTGCTACGTGTTGGGACAAGAGCCTTTTTTCAAGCTTGGTTGCCCCGTGACGCACTTGGCAAATGAGGTGTGCAGATGGATACTCCGGCAGAGTCAACAAGACTTGCGTTTGGATGGAGGACGAATGGGGGGACTGCTTTTAGTTCACCATGAACTTGCATACATTGCATGAGACGGTCTGGGTCCCAGCGTTTCCTTCAAAACGGTTTGCAATCTGCAATCTGTCATCAAATCTGCTGGTCCGCAGTGGTCCACCCTGCAGGACGAGTGTGTGGCTGTCCCATTACTCTCGGGATGTATCATGGAGCAACCATGTCGGCTTCCTGATTTGGGCGCAGTGCCGTGCATGTGAGGAAGCCCAGCAAACCTGTGGCACTTGGAATCTGAACCTGTGCCAAATCTTCAAAGGACAACCCTTTGTGTTTTTTTTTTAATGACGACTGTATATACACGAGTCTTTTTTTGCCCCTTTCAATCACGGCTCCTATGATTCCTGTCAAGCACACCGCAGAGACCCGTCTTCTCCGAGCAAGTTTGCTGGGGAAACGTGGTTTGGGGTGACTGACAGTTTCATATGTGCCCCGATATTGGGTGCCTGCAGAGAGCTCACCTGACGCTTGCCAGGTCTGCCAAACCTATTCAAACTTATTCTTGTGCTAAGTTGTCTTTCATGTTCTTGCTATTTATGCACGAGGTAGCTTCCCATTGCTTGCTTCTTGCATGGTTCACGATGGGAGGCTCCCGCCCCAAACAGCCGGGCAGGTACGATGTCTCGGACTGCACCAGTGTCTCTTGGCACCAGTGTCTCTTAGGCAAGGCATCAAACATGCCAACTGAAAATAATAAGCTTTCTTCAAGCAACTCCATGAGAACTTGTTGTCTAGTATGATGCTTATGATTTGTTTACTTGTTTATATAGCTCCGAAGGTGCCTGGAGACCAAGAGGATGAAGCATGTCACAAATACTTCAGTGAGACCCAATTCATGTTCTGAGTTCCACACTCCTTTCGGATGATTGAGGTGCCACCTGGACAGGTTTGCAGCATTCGTTGCAAGGCGGATCAGAAAGATTGACCTTGGCAGATTGGACAGTGGGCAGAGACAGAAGTCATGACCCATGACCATGGATGTTTGTTGGAAGGAGTTCAGTACAGAGGTTCCAGTGGAAAACAATTTCAGGAAGCTGTGCGAGACATGTCAGTGACAATCTTAATAAGGGCTGAGCCAAGCAGTGGGTAGAACCACTTTGTTTCCTGGACAGTTGCCGTACCTGGGTCCTTCCGCAGATTTTGCATGTCTGGGCACCCAGTTGACTGCATGGAACAAAGGTTTGACCTGAATGGAAAAGCAACTCCATTATGCAAGCGTGGCTTCTTGGATCTACAGTTGACAGACTTTTTTTGTCATGTCGACAAGCAAGGTTCTAGAATGTCAGAGCTTGGGGGCTATTTCCTCATCCGTTTCCGTATCCTGTGGTCAGCAGGGTACCGCCACAGGAGCAGACAAAGAATTATGAGACTGAGTTGTTTTTTTTCTCCATGACTTGTTGATACAAGTAATACTGAGTTTGGCAGCATTGGAGAACCAACAACTCACTGGCCGCCTCTTGCCTAGGCCCCGTAGCCAACACAGATGCGAACCAAATGCTGCAGGGCTCCTTGCCGCTCTGTGGATGTGCCTTGGAGAAAAGCAGAGAACTTGAACGCCACATGTTTGAGCCTTGCGCGTGACAAAGCGGTGGCAAACGCATCCAGGTGGCGAACCTACGCCACTTCCTCCTGGCTACAATGTGTGGTGTTCTCAGAGAAATAGCAAGCGAAAAGGATTGATCATCCAATACTCCGAAGATACTTTGAGCAGTTGTGGTGTGGTGTACTGCCAAACACGCTACGAAGCACTTTTAGATGCTATGGTTGGAGGTGCAAGTTGCGAGGCAAAGTATGTTGTTTGTATCAAACATCGAGTCACTCAATCACAATTCCAAGTCAGAAGATGATTCCAACCGCCAATTACTTGCTTGCACTATGTACATAGCATGTTGACAGTTGCAGGCACTCGCCGATGGTTTCTCAATTGACAAGCCCCTCCCCAGGACACAGGACCAGTTTGACAACAACAAGATCACCTACTCCTGTGCACAAGGCTATGGAGGTGCCAAGCTGGGATTGCCGAGTCGCCATCAATCAAACAATCTTCACCAGAAGAGAATCAATTGGGTCTGATTCTATCGCCACTAGGGTCCCACTGACTTGAATTTTGAATTCTTAGGTAAGAAGCGAGGTCCGATTTTGTACGTTCTAACAACAGGCCCAGCAGTGTGTCCAAGTGTCTGACATAGCTCTGAACGTTTCCGAAGTGCTGGTCATATTCGCCGCAGGCTATGCCTTGAAGATCTGCCAGCCCGGTTGGAACCTCAAACACCCGCGGGTATTTCAACATCCAAAAATGTACAGGTGAACCAACCCGAGGTCCCAAGGTTCCGTTTATTTTTTTGGTCCCGCCTTTGTGGCATTGCAATTCTTCACCTCAGCATGATCCCAAGGTCCAGCTTGCACAGTTGATCCTCTGATGACAGGCACGTATTGGGTGGAAGTCTCAAGCAAATGACTCACACAGAGAAACTCTTTTTTGGACTTATAGCTGTTTCAGGCTGTGCAATTCCTTTGACCTGCGAGGTGGGAAGGGAGAGTGAGATGGGAGCTTTGTAGAGTGGGGAGGCTCCCACAGAGGGTTCCCTGATTGCGCGATGAACCAACGAAGGTGCGTTTGTCTCATTAGGCCAGGCATGCTGCTGCATGGGTGCATGATCTAAGTCGGCTGTCGCATTCGATGTCACGTAGAGAATGGGACGCTTCAGGCAATCTGGATGGACACGGGGTCTGGAGAGGCGGGGAGGGGTATGTGACATGGTGACGGAAATGGTTAGCAGAGGCATCTTCACACCCTTACACCCCGATTGACTGTAGATCATTGTGCACAAGTTGTATGTATATAAATCTCTCTCTCTCTATATATATATACATACATGTATGTATGTGACACTATTCTTGATTTTAGAGCTCCAAGATGCCATGCTTGTCTTTATGCCCATGTTCTTCGGAATAACTGCATTCATGCTAGCTGCCAGGGCATTGCTCGAGGAGAAATTCACCTGGGACCTGCTTTGGTGGGCGCTTCTGTGAATGAGGCTGCCAGCATTCGGACTGCTTTGAATGAACACATAGTGCCAGTATGGTGTGTAGCAACAGGGACACTGCCAAGTTTGGGATGTTGGTGAGCAGACATTTCAGACTTCCTTGTTTGCCTTTCGTGGTCATGTTGCTGAGCCGAGACACACTAGCAGCAGTATGGCAGGGCAATGTGACCGACTACGAAGTCTTCTGGGCGGATAGCTGCGAAGAGCGAATGGGTGCAGAGGCTAGACCAGCAGCGCAGAATCCAAAAGGAGGTGACCAAGCCATATCAGATATGCATGTTTATACAATTTCCCAACAAAACGCGGAACAGTTTCAAGAATTCTTCGTGGAAGCTTCCCTCAGGTGGAGAACTTTCCTTGAACCCTTTGGCCATATGCGTCTTTACATGAAGTAGCTGCCTCTTGCTTACTAGCTACAGCCTACAACCCCGCTCTTCACAGCCTAATATAGATCTACAGATTTGATGAGTCTTTCCTTTGCGGCTGTGGCAATGGCAGCCCATCCAGGCCCTAGGCAGAGTGCCAAAGGCAGATGGCGGTGAGGCATGCTGTAGGCTGGAGCAGAGTCGGGTGGGTGCAAAGGTCCGGTGGAAACCCGCGACAAACCCCATGACAAAATCAGAATCATGTAGAAGTATCGACCATAAGGGATTCTGGGGATTGACATGGAAGATGTTCAATTCTCCATTGACCAGAACGCCTCAACCATTAACCAGAACGCGCACGATCACCTGTGCACTGCAGGAGCGATGCATATTCAGTGCCAATCAATGGTCGCCCACCTTCAGGTCGGGTCGACCGACAGTGACATTCGTGTGAGATCACCATGCACAAACCTTCAAGAACTTTCATTCGTTTCACCTCTGAATCGTGATGCAAGAAATACACACCAGAACATGGACCAGTTCTCAACTGAGGACCAGTTCGGAGCCTCCAAAAACGAGCCATGTGTTGAGGCGCCACTGGCTGGGTCGTCTACTCGATCCTGAACTTCAGCGGCCGAGCACCTGTGGGCGTCTTCGTGCCGCTGAACCAGACATCACTGGTGCCTGATGGGAGTCGACCGTATCTTTTGAATGCTCCATTTTCTGTCTACCAAAATGAGAACTTTGGCCAAGCACGCACACCAGCTTTTTGTCCATGTAGATATGTCCATGACTCTTTAGGTTGTCCCTCAACCAACTCAAGGTACAGTGTGTTTTGCTGGACCTTTCAGGCAACTGGCATGTACTCAACAGAATGGATCCCTGGCGTTTGAATCACTAGTGGCCTTTGAAAGGGGCCCGTCATTGATGGATCTTGGCCTTTGTCGGGTCCGCTCCAGAACCAAGCCATCATTGGGAGCAGCGCCCATTTTTCCCGGCCAGTGTGGAACTCAAAATATGTTCGCACATTGATGTGAAGACTTGAGGCTGAGGTTAGACAAGAAAGCAACCCCAATTGTGACAGTTTCTAATCCAAGATGCTGCGTGCAGGCAACATTTTTGTTGCTTCAGTTGTGTTGAGCCCAAGCGTGAGGTTTGGATGCTGCTGTGTTTGGCAGGGTCCCCTAGTTCCGCAATTGCAGGTGACCCTCGCAAGGCGAAGTTGTCTGCAAGATGTCATCCTTATCCCTCTTGCCTACTTCATGATTCGACAAGTACTGCATTACATGCAAAAAAGAGGTGTTTGACTCTGTTTCTCACAGTTTGGCATATGACAGGTTGTCGCACGCATTGTATCCTGACCAGCGTAGTGACCTGCGCCTCTGTCGGCTAAACCGGCAATGCTACGGCAGACCATCCTGAAGGGATTTGGTCTGTGAACCGATAAAAAGCAGGAACCTGTTATCGATGCAGTGTATAGTAAATATAGGAGAAGAGGTCATTCTTGTGTAAACCGGCAGAAGTGACTCTAGGGACATTGCAGTCATAGATGAATTATTCATTCTTGTTTGCAGTCAACTCTGGGAGAGAATCTGGAATGACAGAGCAGGCTCCCTATCGCGACAAAGTGCGTGCCACGCCGTGTCACTGGAAGTTGGAGGGCACAGACCGCAGCACAGCGCATGTGCAAATAATAAGTGAACCTGAAAAGCAGTGCAATAGCAGTGCTTGGAGAAGCCTTCCAGCAAAAGCCCAATGAGCTTTGTCCATTGCCTTATTTGCGTGCAAGAATCGTACAGACTGTGAACTTAGTCTATTTTCGACAAGCTCAACAATGGGTTGGGGCCTTCCTGCGAGTTTGCGCTCGTAGCCCTATGAATTCGCCGACCTCTGGCATGCATTGTGATAGACCGTCCAGGGCGCGGCAGAAAAGTAGCATTCTGTGCCTGTTCTTTTGGGAGATCTTTGAAGAAAGTGCAGATGTCCTAGAACAGGTCTTTCACATTTCTTGTCGCTCAACTAGCTTGTGCAGTGTAACGTGCGACTTACGGCTGGACGTGGTTGAAGAATCATCCGAATCTCTTCTTCATCTGACTTGCTACACACACACACACACACACCCCGCCTGGGAACTGCTGCAAGTGCAATCAGCAAGCAATTTGCCGCATTTTTCCAGATACCAATACAGTTTGAGCTCAACCGTTCATAGCAGCTGGCAAATAGTCACAAGGTTGATGAAACTCCGCAGCGTAAGTCAGTGTTGTTCAACTAGTCACGCATGTGCTCTTGGACTCAAGTTAGAGGGCACCAACTAAGGACAGCTGAAGTGCTCACCATCTTGCGAGAAAACACGGAGTCATGGGTAACATTTCAACACATTCACCAGCCGCAAAGCCTCCTCAACTTCTGGACAGTACCAGACATCCTGTTGATAGGGACAGAGGTCTGAAACGCATTCTGCCACAGTGTGATGAAAGCAGAACCTCTTTGAGACTCGACTGTTGCGTGCCATGTTCAAAAACCGTGGTCGCCCGAAAGGCAAAACCTATTGGTCGGGTGAAGAACTTTTCGACACCTGTCAGTTCTTGAAGGACACCCATTGTGTACATGGAGATGCTCCTGCTTTCCTCGGTCTTTGAAAAGGGAGCTTGACAGTAGGAAGGGGTAGTGCTGTGCTCAGTTGGGTCCTGACTTCGTGTTTTGGTTTTGGAGGATGTTTTGATGGCAACCAGAGGCCAAGGGAAATCTGAAAAGACATCCGGACACATAGAAGCCATCACTCACCTTCTGGATTTATAAGCAACAGTGGTAGTAAAGTAAC